CTTTCTTTTGATTTTGCCCAAAAAGAAGTGATCTATTTGGCAACTCCCAGATTTCTTGGTAAGAGGGATTTAAAGGCAAGTACAGCGCCTGCTGAGTTCTCTATTACAGGTCACTAAACATAGCAAGGTTTCTAGAGATGGTGTATTATCATTTCATATAAATTGCCAAACTATTTTCCATATTAATGTCTTAGAGAGAGAGAGAGAGAGAGAGAGAGAGAGAGAGAGAGAGAGAGAGAGAGAGAGAGAGAGAAGCAATTTGGCTTGGAAGGAGCTGATGGGCACTGGAAAGAGAAATGCCCAAATAACAACACTCTCTGGGTGCCAGCACACAGGGACCATCCCATCCCTGGAAGGCCGTGGGTGGGATTTTACAACCTGACCAACCGACCATGTTGAACTCACCACAGCAGGTTTTACATCACAGTAAGCCCTTGCCCTCATGCACTTTGCTGCTTGGTTGCATCACAGTTTACTTAACCATTTCTCTTTTCTGTGGACATTAAGACTGTTTCTCATTGTTCATGTTATAAATACTCCTGTGAAGAAAATTTTTTTTGTGTATAAAGCTTTTTTCCCCCTTGAATTTATGATCATTTCTTTAGGAATGATTCCCAGAATGAATATTTTTTAAGACTCTTGATTCTTATTGCCAAATTGCTTCCTAAAAGCATTCGATCATTTTACACTGCTGCTCTACTATGGGAAGGAGACTTTTAAACTGAAAGGTGAAATATAACTCAAGGAAATAAGCTTTGGAGTCAGGGTGCTGGGTTCAAATCCTGGTTCTTCCCATGAAACACCGTTTTTCTTCTTTTCGTGTGTGTGTGTGTGTGTGTGTGTGTGTGTGTGTGTGTGTGTGTGTGTTCCTGTGTATATGTATGTGTGTCTAACTGGAGATCAGAGCTCAATGATAAGTGTTATTCCCCAGAAGCCATACATCTTGTTTTAGGAGACAGGGTCTCACTAGCCTGGAATTTGTCAAGTAAGCTAGATGGCTAGCCATCAAGCCTCAGAAATCCTCCTGCCTCCACCTCCCCGGGACTGCAAGTGCATGCTACTACACCTGTCTCTGTTTACATGGGTTTTGGGGACTGAAGTAGGTCTTCATGTTCACAAGGCAAACGGTTTACCAACTGAGCTATTTCTTCAGTCCCTGGATCGTATTTTCCTGAGAAGCTCTTGAGCCTCTGTTTGCCTATTTGTAAAAAGCGGCCTGGTCTCCTTCTGACGTCGTGCCGACGGCTGGCTGAGAGCCGGTGATGGCCCTTGGCACAGAGTAGCAACAAGCAAATGAGAGAGACAGCCCCTCTCTCCGGTCTGTTTTCAGAGGTTCTCACTTCCCAACTAGCTTGAAGCCTTCCCCCACAAGCCAGGCTGCAGTTAGGAGTGACTTCTGTCCTTAGCTGAGACCCATCTCCTGAGGGGAAGCCCCTTTCTTCCAGCTGACTACTGGCCCCAGCTCTGTGTTCAGAGTCCTGCTCTGTAGAATGCCACAGTCTGCCTGTCCTGTCTGTGTACAGACCACTCAGCTCCTAGACTTGAGACTTCTGCTCTGCGCCCGGGTAAATGAAAACAGCAGCCATCCCTAGCATCCCCAGAGAAAACTAGGGGCCTCCAGTGTCATTCCCTCTTTGATGGGCATAGCACCGAGTGGGGTAGTTCTCATCTGCCCCTTTCTTGGTTGCCTAGTGGCAGTTCTAATGCATCAGTATCTTGCCCTGCTCCCCTTTCTCGGCACCCCAGCCCCTGACCTTGACCTTGTGCAGATACACTATACCATGAAGCTGTCTCCTACTCTCTGCAGAATGTCTATCGTGCCCTTCATCTATTGTGACCCAGTCAGTCTGAGCCTGCCAAATGCCCACAGCTGATCAGAACTGTGTCCATGCTGAACACAGCTCAGTGATTCTCGCCATCCCTAAGGTAGAGTCCAGAGCCTCGGCTTGGCTCCTGAGGCCCTCCAGTGGCTACCAGTGCTACATCATGCATCCATTTATGCATGCGTTCCTTACAGGGCCTTTTTAAAGGACCAGGGACCAGGCAAGGTATTGGAGTTATCATTGCAAAGTGTTTTCAAGCTACCCAATCCGGAACAAGACGTAGTAGCGAAGTATTCACTCTCTCCATACTTGACCTACACTGAACACTTGGTATCTCCCCTTTCTCTACACCCCTCCCACCTTTCCAGGCTCCTACAAGGTAGGTGTCATAATCATTCCTCTTCCTGGGTAAAAATGAACCTCAGAAAGCAAACGTAGCTTGCTCGAGGTGTCTCATCTGAGGAGTAGAGAGCCACATCCTTTGCCACCCACACCCCCACCAGTCCCAGTTTCTTTTACATGTGTCATGTCTGAGGATCACTATTAAAGCACACAGGTAACATGCCAGCTTTCCACAGCTGTGGGAGAAAATGCTCATGAAAAATGAAAGGAGTTGTACTCAGGTTCATGATTTCAGAGATCTGGTCCAGGGTTGCTTGGTGACGTCATTCAGTGCTCGTGGCAGCGAAGAACATCATGGTGCGGAATCCATGGAGTTAAAGTGCTTACAGCATGGCAGCCAGGAAGCAGAGAGGGAGAGAGGGAAGGAGGGATGGAGGGAGGGATGGAGGGTGTGCCAAAGCCTTCAAGAACCCACCTCCGTCCTATTCTTCCTTTAACTAAAGTATCTATCCCTCATGTCTCAGTAGAGCCAAAAACTGGAGATTCAACACATGAACCTTTGGGGAGACATCCCAGATACTGTAATAGATGGTTATCTTTGTGTGCATAGCTTGTAGAAAATTTAAGCCAAAAGAAAAAACAAAAACCAAAAAAAAACAAAAAAACAACAACAACAAAAAAAAAAAAACACCCTCACAGCTCTACTTAGCTACTCACTGACCAAGGACTAGCAAAAGAGCTGAAAAATTCTCCCAAGAGCTCCAGAGCTGCCCATGGAATTCCTGTCCTGAAACCTGGCTCTGAGCGTCCAGGCTCTTCCCCGTGAGGGGCTTTGCCTTGCTCTCTGGGAATTTCAGAGCCCTTACAGGGTCTGCGGCGAGCACTCGATAACCGCACTGAATTAAATGAGACTGCGTTCAACTAAATTGAATTGAGAAACAGGCGTTTTTGAGCAGTGGCTGGGGCTTAAGTTCATTGTTGTCCTAATAACCTTGTGGTAGATAACATTGCCTTCCCCATAAGCCAGGCTGAGTACTCCTGGTTTGGAGGGCTCTCCGTTCAGGCTCAGCCGCTTTCCCTGCATAGACCACAGGAAATAGATGTGAACTTGTGTGTTCTCTGATGGCGTTTGCTGATAGGTCTCAGAGGTCAAACATCTGAACGCCTTTCGTCGTTGCCTGGCTTTGCTCTAATTACTTAACCTTTCCAGACCTCAGCTTCTCATTGGTCTGTGCCCTGTGGAGATATTGTGGTAATTAAAAACTGAGGAATGGAATACAACGCTCTCACTGTGCACGGTGCATAGTCAGAATGCACAGATTTGGGCATCAGTTCTAACTGTCCTTTCCCTCTCTCCTGACCATGGCAAGCTGTAGGCAGTGGACAGGGAGACTTCACAGGGAAATTAAGGTAGAGGCAGAAATCCAAAGCTATGGTCTTCAAAGAAGCTAGTGAGGTCAGGGTTGTGGAGGAATGTGGAACTCCCAAGCTCCATGCTTGGGGAAGTAGCAGAAAGATGTAGAGACCTAAGCGGGTGTGAGTTGGAGAGGTAGAGAGAGGCCAGATGATTTGTGTTTTATTCTGAGGGCAATAGGGAGCCACCAAAGGGTTTATCATGGAGAAATGACCTGATCAGCTTTGCAGTGTCCAAAGGTCACCCTTGCTGCTCTTGAGAGGACAAGGAAGAGGGCAGGCAAGCAGCACAGATGACTAGTGGAGCTGCTGTTGTCTTCAGAGCTCAGGTGAAACTCGGTGGGGTCTAGATCAACATCATACAAGCGGAGATCAAGAGGAGGCACACAAAGATGCAAAGCACACAGCAGAAGAGAGCCATCATTAGCTGGTACCCAGTGAACCAGAGGGATGAAGCGGGGGAAGAAGTTAGGAATCAGGCTGCTGGCTTTCCACTGGAGTGGCTGGCCAGCAGAAGGACAGAGGGGGCTGGGCACACTGAACTGCAGATGCACGTGGGGCACCCAAGGCTGCAGGAGCTGACACCCAGAGCTAAGTTAATTGAACCAATGGCGAGTTGCAGGAACCCATCCCTGACTCAGCATGAAGCTCCTTCTCACAATTAGACTGGTTTTTCTGGGTGTTAAGAAGGAGGGAGGGAGGGAGGGGCTCGGGGGATCGCTCAGTTGGTCAAGTTGTTGCCATGCCAGCGTGAGCATCTCAATTCAATCCCTAGAACCTGTGTGTAGAAAGCAAGGCCTGTGATGCATGCTTGCAGTCCCAGCGTTGGGGAAACAGAGCCGGGTGGATCCCTGGGGCTCCCCGGACAGCCAGCCTAGCTTACCTGGGGAGGCCCAGGCCAGTGAGAGACCCGTCTCCAAAAGCAAAAAGCGGGGTTGCGGGTGGTGGCTCACTAGTGACAGCACTAGAGGTTATGCTTGGCCCACATGCACATGTATGGACATATATGTGCATGCATACACACACACACACACACACACACACACACACACACACACACACACACTTCACCCAGGCACGTACATACGCAAACAAAGCTGAACTAACTAGTCTCGGAAGGGGTGTGTGGCATACGTGACTCTGATTGTCTTTCAACACGGTGACATTTAAGATAAGGAATTACAGTAGCTTTGACTCCCTGAATCTGGTCCCACGCTGACCCTTGACCCGTGTGATTGCTTTTGTCACTGTGATTTCAGCCAGTAGTTCGGGGTAAGGGGCCTGAGAGGGTTCCGTGGGTCCTGCTTTTCTCCTTCACTGAGTCGGAGGGACGGGTGGCACTTCTGGTCTCCTTTTCTTCACGGCTTGAAGCACATGTCCACGGTGAACCTCTTCAGCAAGCCTAGGGCAGTGTGGGAGAGTAGGTCTTACCTCAGCCCTTCCTACGGATGCCGGTCCAGCCTGTGAGACTCCTGAGGAAGCCCAGTCAGTAGAGAAGTGAGCGTGTCTCGCTTCTCTTCGGTCTGAACGCTCCGCAGCGATGGGAGTGCAAACAGGAGCTTTAGAGAAAGGATGAAATCACAAGTATCGTCCACCCACAGCCCATCCTTTAAAGCTGCCTCGTTAGATGGTCCGTCTTCCCCGAGTCGGTTGCCACCATCCACACTCAATTACCTCTAACCACCGAACTCCCAGCTCCGCAAACCTCCTACCTTTGCCCCACAGAGACGGGGCCCGAGGTGGATCCCAGACCCTCCACTCACAAGTCTTTAATCTTAGGCAAGTCATTTAACCTAGTTGAGCCTCATGCCCCGTCGGTGGGATTATAAATTGGCACACTCTTTTCGGGAGGTAATTTCACAGTTGTGATTAAAATGTATAATGTGCGTAGCACTGTTAGGAGTTTATATCAAGGAACCAGGAAGAGGTTACTGGGAAATGATACGTAGAGGATGTTCACCACAGTGTTATTTATTATGAAGGGAAATAGGAAACTGTCTATGTCTAACGTTAACGGTCCAATAAACATGTGGTGGATAAAACATGTGGCAATTAAAATGATAATTTCAACTAATATTCAGAGAAAGTGGAAAATGCTCAGCATATATAAAATAAAAAATGGGTGCACATAACTGAATATATAGCTAAAACTAAAAGTGTTACATGTATTCACATATAATAGTTGTAGAACAAGAAAAAGGCCAATAAAAGTGTTAGCATCCTTAGTTCTAAACAGGAGTATTAATAGACTTTTCCCCTCTATATTCTTTTGTTATTATCTGGAAGTTTTACAATGACTGTATTATATTACTTTTTAGCTATAGGAAAAATCAGTAGAAATTCAAATGTATTTATTTTCTGTAGCCCTGTGGGTGGACCCAGGGCCTTGCACATGCTGCGCAATGAGCTCTCCCTTCGAGCTGCATCTCACTCCCTTAAAATGCATTTGGATAGCTCCCGCTCCTTAACAAGCGTAGAGCCAACTTCCCAAGTGGCGCTCCAGACCATCATCCCATCTCAACCCCACACCTTCAGCTTCTAGAACCTTCTTCCATCCTCACAACCCCTGCCCCCACCATCCCATGCACCACACTCAGCACCCACACTGCTTGCTGCTAGGTGTTTCATAGATGCTTCTGTTGCCGTGTCTGTATATTCTTCCTCACATGCGGCAGGAGCAACCTCCAGCCACCCCCTTCCTTCTTGATTGCTTCCTGCCCCCCTTTTCTCTTGGAGAACATTCTGCATCCATTGCAGTACTTACGCCATGCCTGACACATCCACTTTCCTTTCTCCAAGAGTCTGGAAACTCCGGGGATGAAAGACAAATTCTTTCTTGGAGAATTAGGAGAGGATTCTTGGAGGGCGTATAGGAGTTTGTCAGCTAGACCAAATACAATGACCATCCACACAACTCTAGAATGAACTCCCAGCTGGCACAATCCCATCCCTGGTTCTCTCTCAACCATTATCTTGCTGGATAGTCTGCTACAGGTGGATCCATGTCTATCCCAGCAGCCATGAAGGGCTCTGCAGGCAGAAAATTGTCAGTGTGCTTTGTAGTACTCAGCCAGCTACCTGACACAGACTGGGCACTGCCAGCTCATTCTACAAAGGTCTTAAAGCAACAATCCTAGGATGACCCTCCCCCCACCCGCCAGCTTTGCACATGGCAAAGGGCTGTGGTGTTGTTACTGGTTTCAAAGTGAGCCTTGAGGGTGCTGGTAGTCTTTAACACACAGTCTGTTGACTTGAACCAAGCTGCAGATGTTATTTACCTAGTAGACAATAAGAGGTTATTCTACAACGTTTGAACTTTGCTTGTCTGTGAGGATCCCACTCACTTCCCCTTTAAACAGCCTGCCACAGTTCCAGAATGATGCCTTTGAAATAAATCCTGCTTGAGTAATGTTTCTCTTGGACTCATAAAATCTTTATGGCAGTCTCTCCTCATCTCATAGACTCGGAGAAGGAAGCAAGAGCCAGAACCACCGAGCCACAAGTGGGGAATGCAGTATTTTCTCATATGGGTCACACATTAAATGCAAATAGCAGTCTTAGAATGCAGATCCAATACTGACTACATTAGCATGTA